CTCTCTCTCTCTCTCTCTCTCTCTCTCTCAAGCGCGCGCCGATCTCGTTAATTCTCCCGAGGATCGACACCCACGCCCGCGACGATTTACGGCGCGGGGACAAAGTGAACGGCCGGCCGTCCGGTCGCGCGTCTTTTTAGCGACGATAAAACGCCACGGCTGCGATTGTGTAAATGCCGGCCGTAAAGTCGGCAGTAAACGGACCTTTAAGCGTCGCATGGACTCTGCGGAGTAAACCGGTGGACGTTTTACAGCCCCGCGCGCACGTTCCGCTCCTTTCCGCGCCGAAAAGAAGACCCAGAGACACCCGCGTGTGAGTAGCGCGCGAACGTAAATCGCGTCCGCGTTCGCGATGTAGATCTCGTACATGAAAATAAACGCGAAATTTGTGGTGCGTCCGGGCTATCGAGGTCGCACTCGTCGACAGTTTAATTTACGACGGTGACACGACGGTCGCGCTCGAAGGGATTCCCGAGGAGAACGCAACGCGAGTGATGATTCTCGTCGGAAAGCTTTGCGAAAAGTGATGAAAAGTTTTCAGATCGACAAGACATTTAATGAAATAGCTGAGCGATTTTTTATATGTGTGGTTTCTTTATGTGTTTTTTATATAGCTCTTATTTCTATTATTATTTTATTATTGTATAATAGAATTATATTTTCCACTGAAACATCTCACATCTATTTATTAAAACTCTCTATTGTTTTCCCTGAAATCCTTTTATTTATTTTCGAATTCTTAAAAAATACAAAAGAGCAGAGAAATGTGATGGTTCTTGCTTTTTAGAGTTAATTTTAAATACTTTCTTATAGTTTCAATATTTCTTCAGAAACTTTTGCACAAAAAATATCGTTTCATTTATAGACCTTTTTGAACACGTCAATTATATTGAATAAAAAAAATGAGATCGAGATATTTCGCGAGTTTATCTTTATCGTTTTTAGAAACGACCGGGTCATCGATTGACCATCAAATCGTGCGATTTGCAAATTAAACAGTAACAAGCGAGTATTCGCGATCCAATGGGGTCGCGTAACAATTAATCCAGAAATATCTAATTTGAGAGGGGAAGAATGAAAAAGAGAACAGATTTGACTTGTTCATGCAAAAATACAGACGACACGCCGTTCGCGCGCCATCCGCAAAAACTCTCTGCGAAATTCACGGCGTATCTCGCAACGGCGGCCGGTCGGTCGCGCTACGAAGCCTCAATGCAATGTCCGAAACTGCGAACGACACGGCGAAAAGTGTCGAGTGTGAGATTTTTCCGGGCGTTGAATAAACAGTCCGCGCGTACTCTCGCCACTCGCGGCGACTGATTTTTCAGCGTCACTTTTTAATGCGCGCTTCTCTGCGAACGGGACACACGAAACGCCGACTTTGTTAATCCAATCGAGAGATATCGCGGCTCACCAATATGCGATTTTTTTATTTATTTTTTTCGAAGCTCCATTGATAACGAAAAAATAAAAAAAACGCGAAAACAACTGCAGCGGATGTTATGCGACGATTGCAAGCTACCTGCGGTTATGGTCCATATCGCAGCAACGATTTCGTTGCAAACTGTCATAGTAAATCCTATAAACACAGTTTTCATCGATTTGATAATTCGATGGGACGAGATATTGAATGGTGTTTAAATAAAATTATGTGTCACTTTATTTTGCTATTTAAATAAAATTGAGTATGTTTCGTTCCAGAGACAAATTTCGTTCGTTGGAGACAAATTATTACTTTTATTATCATTGCGTTTTTGCTCTTTCTTCTTGTTTAATAAACCAAGATAAATTACCCAGCAATTTGTTATTATGTAATTAATGACAGGAAAAAGCTCTCACCAGCTGTAAAAAAAATATTAAAATGTTCTGCAAATAGTAATGTTTTTGTTCAAGCACCTGCTGCGGACTTAACATTAGGAGGATTAAATCCCCGACAGACTCTCTTTAAGCGGCCGCAAATGGAGATGTTACTTTTATAATGCCGCGAACTCCATTTTACTTCGCACCGCGGCGTACGCGAA